TTCTGTGTGTGATATATATATATATATATATATATATATATATATATATATATATATGGAAAATTGCATAATAATGTCTGAATTTGGACTGTTTGTTGCAATGGAAAATAAACTATATACTTGCAGAACCCAAAAAAAAAAGGGAAAGAACCATTAGCTTTTTGAGGTCTGAAGATAAAACAGGAATAATGAGGAACGAACAGGCGGGCGGTAGAAAAACACTTTGGAATAATGAGGAACGAACAGGCGGGCGGTAGAAAACACTTTGGCACTCGCGGATGGTTTTCTCGTAATATGCTCGAATCAGAATTTATCCCCCTTTCTCTTTTTTTTTTAAAAAAAAAACAAATGATTTTGTATTTGCCCCCCACCAGTGCACGAGAGATACACACATGGGGTGGGTACTCTCCGATTGTCCACTGCGTGATTAGAGGCCTTGACTAGGGATGTAAAATGAACCCGGCTCCCGGGCTGGTTCGTGAGCCAGCCCATATTTTTTTCGAGCCGGGCTCAAGTATTTCGAGTCCATAAAAAAACGGGTCATACGAACTAGTCCATCACGAGTCGGGTTTGTGACGAGCCAACCCGTCACAATTTGGGCTGGTTCACGGGTCAGAAAAAATATTTATTTTTTTAAAATTTTAAAATTTTTTATATTTTTATATATACAAATTTTATTTTTATCACATATTTGATTTATTTTGTTTAAAATTTTAATTTTTTATTATATTTTAGATATTTTAAATATTAAAATTATTTTTAAATATTTTTAGTATTAAAATTTTATTTTTAAAATTTATATATTTGGTTCGTGGGTCGACTCGTTTGGTTCGCGAGTTAAGACGATGTAGGTTGGACTGAAATTTTTTTAGATCGGGATGGTCCGGGCTGGGCTGGCCCGGCGCAGCACGTTTAACACCCCTACTTTCGACGACCCTGGCTTTCCTTAGTTCCCTCTGCGACATGTGATAATCAAAAGTCGGACATGGAACGTAAATACATTTACTGTTTTGACCCTTTCACTGTTTCTGCCTCATCTTCCCTTCTCCCCTCTTTCTCAACCAGAAGTTTCTACATGCCAATTATTATTTTTTTGTCACAGTGGAGATCAAACTCACTCAAGTTATCGTGTGTATAAAATCTGCTCCTTCGGAGCTTGTAAATCTTCTTAATTTCTTCATCTTCACCTCAACATTCCAGGGATCGAGGCTTTTGGCCTCGTTGATCTGCTGTTGCTCTGTCGAATCGCGAATGATGATGATGTGGATGAGTCTTGCCAGATTAGCCGCGGCGGCTAGAGCCGGCGGATCTCGGCGATGCTTGTCGACGGCTATTCCCGGGCCTTGCATCGTCCACAAGCGAGGCTCTGACATTCTTCATGATCCATGGTTCAATAAGGTTGTCTTTCTTTCACTTTCTTTCCTCGCCTGCTTCTCTTCTGTTTTTCTTTTTTGGTTCTAGATTCGTTTTGTTTTGTTTGATTGAAACCTTACTGTTATTTACTGATTTATATTTGCTGGGTTTCGCTCGGTATATAATTTGCTCTCTCGTAATCACAATCTCATGTAGATGAGATTAACTATGCTCTCTCAACTCTGTTAGATTTCTAAGCTTATGAGCTTAATTCGAGTGAAATTTCCTGACTTTATGTCTCTTTTGGCGTGAAAATGCATTGTGGAGTGCAGGATACAGGGTTTCCTTTGACTGAGAGGGATAGATTAGGGCTCCGAGGTCTCCTTCCGCCTCGTGTTATATCATTTGAGCAGCAGTATGCCCGTTTCAGTAAGTTTGATCTATCCTTCTTAATGATCTGACCTCTCTTTCGTTGCATTTCTTTCTTCTTCGATTTGTTTTGTTAGTGGAAATTTTTGGCTTTACAATCACGCTGTCTCTTTGATCATTGTTGTTCACCAATGATATTGTGGTACCTTGTTCTCATGGACTGGTTTCTAAGACTTGGTTTAAATGGCAGTGGAGTCTTTTGGATCACTAGAGAGAAATACTCAGGGGCAGCCAGAGAATGTTGTATCTTTAGCAAAATGGAGGATTTTGAATCGATTGCATGACCGTAATGAGACTTTATACTACCGAGTGAGTCGGTGTCTTGTTCAAGTGTTAAACTGGATAAACTATATGACATACCCAGATAAATTGAACTCCCCTTCCTTCTGCAGGTCCTTATCGATAACATCAAAGATTTTGCGCCGATTATATACACTCCCACTGTTGGGCTGGTTTGTCAGAACTATTCAGGTCTGTTTAGAAGACCACGAGGAATGTACTTCAGCGCCAAAGACAAAGGAGAGATGATGTCTATGATATATAATTGGCCTGCTCAGCAGGTAGTATATGCACTGCCAGGATCTTGATTTCAAATGATAGACCTTGTACTATGCTATACTTTCAAAATAGATTGCATTACAAGTTTCTTTCCATGGTGCAGGTAGATATGATCGTTATTACAGATGGTAGCCGTATTCTTGGCCTAGGTGACCTTGGAGTCCAGGGAATTGGAATACCTATTGGGAAACTTGATATGTATGTCGCTGCAGCGGGCATCAATCCACAAAGAGTATGTGGACCGCAGCATAATTCAGTTGCCTTTTTCTCTTATTTGGTATAGACAAGGTTTCAACTTGTTATTCCAAATATGTTTCTTTCTGCCAGGTCTTGCCAGTTATGTTAGATGTGGGAACAAATAATGAGAAGCTCCTAGAGAACCATCTTTGTGAGTATCCTTTTTTTTATTTGTTTTCCTCTATCTTTTTTTCCCCCTTAATGAGATGAGTCCATATTATGTGCTTGTGAATATGTTTTCTCAAAACTTTATCAGATGCATTTCAAACATACAGATTTAGGACTTCGACGACGTAGGTTGGAAGGAGAAGAGTATCTTGAGATTGTTGATGAATTCATCGAAGCTGTATCCGCCCGTTGGCCAAAGGCTGTTGTGCAGGTATATAACTAGTGGTGCTGAGTTTCCCAAGCTATGCCTCTTGCTGGGAAGATATGAATCTTACTTTCTCTGTAGTTTGAAGATTTCCAAATGAAATGGGCTTTTGAAACTCTGGAAAGATATCGGAAAAGGTTCTGCATGTTCAATGATGATGTCCAGGTACGTGCTGTCTGTAAATAAGCTGTTGTGGGTGATGAACCAGAATTTGAGATTTAAAGGCCAGTTTTTGTGCTCATTTTTTGTGTCTTTCGTTGTGAGATTTAATGTATCTTTTACAGGGAACTGCTGGTGTTGCTTTGGCTGGACTTTTGGGAACAGTTAGAGCCCAAGGTCGGCCTTTGTCAGACTTTGTAAACCAAAAGATTGTTGTGGTTGGAGCTGGGAGGTACCTATTGAATCTGCCTTCTCAGACTTTCATATAAATTTTTACTTGCACAGAGATTTGCTGCTTCTGTTATTATCTTCTTTGTATTTTACTTTTCATTTTCTCATCCAAGACTCTTTTATTTCAGTGCAGGGCTTGGCGTTCTTAAGATGGCAGTACAGTCAGCTGCGAGAATGGCCGGGATCAGTGAGACAGCTGCAATGAAAAACTTCTACCTCATAGATAAAGATGTATTTATCTACATCTTCACGGATTTTCTTTTTGCATGGTTAAAAAATAATAAAGAAAATTTCTTAAACGCTTTCATAGTTAACGTGCATTAGTTTGACTTTGACACTATCAAATAGTCTAAGAAACTTTCTTATACGCTTTCTTCTTAGTGATTTTATAAGTTATCCACTACAAGTTACCTTTCAAAAGCCTAAACGATTTCATAAGTTTATCAATCGGTCATTCTCTTCCCCCATTTTGAATTTGTTGAATAATCTGCTGAGGACTCATCGGGTTTCAGGGACTTATCACCGTGGAGCGGACAAAACTCGACCCAGCAGCAGCACCTTTTGCTAAAGATCGAGCTGAGATTTCAGGCCTATCTGAAGGAGCAAGTATCGTTGAAGTGGTAAGCATTATAGTGTCCTTTATTGTCTTTGTTTTTTTGAAGTACTCTTCTTTGTGACCCACTGGTACCATGTAGCATTACAGAATCTTTGTTATCATATATGTGATATTTGAAGATGTCTATATTCATGCTTGTTCAGTTCTTGTCCTCAGAGGTTGTACACAATTCTTGTTATACTTTTCTGGGAAATTCTAATATAGGAACTTTGTTCAGGTAAAGAAAGTCAGACCGCATGTTCTTCTTGGTTTATCTGGAGTTGGTGGTATCTTCAGTGAAGAAGTGGGTAACGTTCTAGTCAATAAGTCATGCAGTGATCTTGCAATTTATGAGTTGCTTATGATTGTTGGCTTCCATACTGAAGGTTCTCAGGGCAATGCGAGAATCCGATTCAAAGAAACCTGGCATTTTTGCCATGTCAAATCCTACCCTGAATGGTTTGTTTACTCTTTGCATAAGACAATCAATCTGTATCTTTCCTGCAGCTGTTGTGTTTTTCTAACTTAGCATATCACTTCATATGGCAGCTGAATGCACTGCCGCCGATGCTTTCAAGTACGCTGGAGAAAATATAGTCTTCGCAAGTGGAAGCCCATTTCAAAATGTTGACCTTGGTCTGTTTTCTAACCAGTTTCTTTGTTTTTACTCAAATTATGGCGAATGATAATAGCTCATTTGTGACTATTAGAATCTAAACAATGTATTTCCACTTGCAGGAAATGGTAAAATAGGCCATGTGAATCAGGCTAACAACATGTACCTATTCCCTGGGTAAGTGACTAATGTTTTCCTTTTTAATTAATTGCCTCTGTGGTACTCCATGAATCACATATTTCATGGCTAAAATGTTGACAAAATCGATGTCACATTCTTTCAGAATCGGGTTAGGAACACTTCTATCTGGTGCACGTATCATAACTGATGGAATGCTTCAAGCAGCGGCTGAGTGGTAAGGACATATCATCTTGCCCCATTAGCTCTCTTCCAACTGTCTCCATACAATCTCCAGTAAGCAGAATCCAAACATGAAAGTAAAGAACACAATTGAGCTTGAACTGTGTGCGCTACATGATTGTAGCTTAAGATCTCTATAAACTTCGTTCTTTCAGTTGGGTTTTCTGTTCTTTCTCTGAGCATCCTTCACCTTTGGAGATTGCATGTTTTAGCTATTTACCATTTTGAAAAATAAGGGTATAATATTTCCCTGATATTATGTATCTAAATCCAAGTAGTGATCACGATTCTTTCTATTAATGTTTATTTATCAAAAAAAGATTGTGTTTTGATTCACACTCACTCCAAAATATACAGCCTCGCATCCTACATGACGGAGGAAGAAGTGGAGAGAGGCATCCTTTACCCTTCTATAAACAAGTTTGTTAACAGCTCTCTATTGTCTATGCTCCTTATCCTCTGATTCGATGCTCAAAAGGTCCTCAATTATATGTGTTGTTGTTTTTCTTCTTACAATGCAGCATCCGACACATAACAGCAGAGGTTGGAGCTGCTGTTCTACGAGCAGCCGTAACTGAAGACATTGCAGAAGGGCACGGTGATGTTGGCCCCAAAGATTTGAGCCACATGTCAAAGGTATCAATTTTCTTCTCAATCTCTTCTTTTTTTTTTCTCTCAGGAATGATTGAGAAGTTGCTGAATGATTTTGGATGCTATACTTGTCTGATTACTCTGACAGATCATTAGATCTAATGTAGGAAGGCTTTGATCTGGTTCCTATTGAATTTGTGTCAATTTGGATCGAGATCTTACCAGAGTTTGGTGTCTTGCTGAAATTCATCAGCTAACAGAGTTGTGTTTATCCGATGAATCTTTTGACAACAGGAGGAGACAGTGAACTATATAACGCGCAACATGTGGTACCCAGTCTACAGCCCTCTGGTTCACGAGAAGTGATCAGAAATCAAGTATTTGTTTGTTGTTCATCAGACCCCATAAAAGCCAAGGCATTCTCTCTTTTTTTCCTCGGGGGTGGTGAAAACATTCTTATTCCGAGTTTATGAAACTGTAATAGGTAAAAAGCTTTTTGCCATCAGCAGCAGAAACAGGGGAGGTAGTTGCAGGCAACCTATTGAAGAAAGCTTTAAAAGTAGTTGGGTTTATTATGTCTGAGCCCAACTGTTCATGACACTTGCATAAGTTACAGAGACCCATCGGTTCATTTCTTCCTCACATCTTTTGTCGAGAGAGAAATAGGGAGTTGGGCTATCGTGTGCCAACCTTCTTCAATAACAATTTATTTTCATTTTATATGATTTGACCCTTCCGCAACGAACAATGTTGGCAATCAGACCCGATTTAGCATTTTAGTCGAGACTAGAGAGGAGAGAGAGACAAACATTTCTCCATTTCTCTGGACACAAACGGTGCCAGTTGCTGTGATTTTTTCCTCCTCTCTTCGAACTAATGGCGGAAACAACGAAGAGGTATCCATGGGTTTTTGCCACTCAGAAACCCGGCCTTATGTTCTTCGGACAGGGAATCATTTCTCCTCGTGTTTTGCAGAGTTGCAGTAGTCACGGGATCAAACAGATGGATTGGGTTTGAGATCTGCCGACAGCTGGCGAATAATGGAGTAACTGTTGTTCTTACTGCTAGAGATAAGAGAAAAGGTCTTGAAGCTGTCGAAACTCTCAAGAAGGAGAATGGTTTCTCTGATCAAGACATCGTCTTTGACCGACTGGATGTGTCTGATCCCCACAGTATTGCTTCCCTTGCTGATTTCGTCAAGACCCAGTTCGGGAAACTCGATATACTGGTACGACCCTTTCTCATTTATCACAAGTTTTTTTCTCCCGTCTTGTTTCTCCGATTTACACAGGGTTCTGTACTGATCTTGAGCTGCTCATTTCGCCAGGAACTGAAAAACGCATTGGTGTTGAAGTTTTCTATATTTTTCTTTATTTGTTGAATTTGTGGAAGCTGCGATGAGATTGTGATGACAATTGCGTTGACTCTTGCAATTGCCTTAAACATTAGATCGCATCGGTGGCAAATAGAGTCTGATAAGTGATAACCGCTGGCTGGTGTTTGATACTCCTTTCGCTACCTCTCTCTGTTTGTACGCCTTGAAAACTAGAAACAGGGCCGCTTGTATAGTAAACTCTTTTGTTCCGCATTATCTGATGGTTTGTTTGCAGATGCATTTCTTGAACTTGATTAGTTGTAGTATGCTTGGGATTGTTGCAGGTTAATAATGCCGGTGTTGGTGGGGCTAATGTTAACGTCGATGCCCTAAAAGCTCAAGTTGCTGAGGTAGTAATCTTCTTTAAGCTAAACCCAATGTTTAAAGACCCCAAATTTGTGTAAAGGTTGAATAGAATTTGTATGACAAATGCAGAGTGGTGCACCAACCAATATAGCTGAGATAATGTCTGATACATATGAGATAGTTGAAGAGTGTATCAGAATAAACTATTACGGGGTAAAAGGAATGTGTGAAGCAATGGCTCCTCTCCTTCAGTCTTCAGATTCTCCAAGAATCGTCAGCATCGCCTCCTCCATGGGAAAGTTGGAGGTACATCTTTACCCAAAAGCTGTGATTTCATGTGTGCAGGAAAAAAAAGGTTTTAACTTTGGTTGTGGGAAAAGTGCAGAACGTTTCCAATGAATGGGCAAAAGGAGTGATGAGTGATGCTGAGAACCTGACAGAGGAGAAAGTGGATGAAGTACTGAGAGAGTACCTCAAGGATTACAGAGAAGGCTCGTTACAAGAGAAAGGCTGGCCAACTGTTATGTCTGGTTACATTCTCTCAAAGGCAGGGGTGATTGCCCTGACCAGGATTCTTGCCAAGAAGTGCCCTTCATTCTGCATCAACAGTGTTTGCCCTGGTTTTGTAAACACTGATATCAATTTCCATACAGGGATTTTGCCAGTTGAAGAAGGCGCCGCCAGTCCCGTGAGGCTGGCCTTGCTCCCTCAAGGCAGCTGCCCTTCTGGCCTTTTCTTTGACCGCTCTCAAGTCTCGTCCTTCTGATCTGTGTCATCATCATCTTGAACTTTCATGAGCTCTGATAATGATAGGTGTGTGCTTTTGGTGTTCAAAGGAGAAGAGATGTAAGATTCTTTGTGCCTGTATTATGAATCACCATGTGACCATTTCTCAACGAATCTCGAATGTTGTCAGACCAGACCCTATTGTGGTGAACCGGTGTGTATTTGAATTACATGAATGAAATGTTATTTTGCAAACACCTGACTGCCCAAAAAATGGGGACTTTGTTCATAAACAGCCCACGCCAAGCAAAAAGGCAGTAAATAACACAGATGAGGAACATCATCTGAGAGATTCAGATTGGAGCGTTAGCCTAACACCTTCTCTGAAAGAAGTAGGAGAGATCTGAAGGGTCTGAATCAGTTTGGTTACGTCCATTGATATATCTGCCGGCGAAACTACACCTCGATCAACCTGAGAAAGAGGTTTCTACCATTTAGATATCGGAAATATTGCACACAAAATCAATGTGTTTAACAATGTTGCATCAGGAAATTTTAACTTACTGAAGTCGCAGAAACGGGTTTGATCAAGGATGAATCGTGACCCCTGACTTCTGCGATAGCTTCAGCCATCTGAACTCTGGATAGCCTGTCGGGACCACCAGCGTTCAAAACTAACTGCATCGGTCCACCATCTGAGAACAGGCAAGAATAGCCCGATAACTAAGCACAAAGCTGTGTAATCAACAAAAGAAATGGCAACAAATGGGAAAATCCGACTCCAAGCATCTCTGTCTATTAAAAATTGAAGCATAAAGGTTGAGGAGATACCTGAGAGCCACATGTCTGTCAACTTCAGCATGATAGCCACAAGATCCTTTACATAAATGGGGCAACGAAACTCGTCGTGAAAAAATTCCACCTTGTCCCCCTTCTGTAAGACACTGTCGATCCACTGTATCATCCAAAAATCAAATTTATTACCAAGAAGTGAATTCTCTGAACCAGAACGATCCACATTATCTGTTGCAAAGAGGGAAACTCGCCTGAATAGGGAGAGTCTTGGGGACTGGAGATACAGTTTGGGGGCCGAAGATGATACTGCTTCTCAGTATAGCAAAGTTTGGGTATTTATCTTTGATGAGCTTCTCTGCTGCAACTTTTGATTTCCCGTAAACATTCACAGGAACAGTCTCGTCCTCTTCCTTGTAGAAAGACTTCACTCCTTCGTAAACTGAAATGACAGAATCACTCAAAACCACAAACAAAAATGAGGCCTTCTAAACTCATGCTCCGCTTCAGAAGCTGGAATTTAAAAGACCCTTTCTTTCCAGTCTTTCGACAAAAGGTACAAACCACTCGACCCACTAAAAAAAATGTGTGAATCCCTTAAACTACGAGGCTATTTGATGATCTATGCTTGATGAGAAAACAAAGGTAGATGTGTTCACCTTGATCAGTAGAGAGATGAATCAACAACGTCTTGTCCTTGTCGAATGTTAATAACCAGTTTACAAGAGATGAAGGCACGTTAATGGACATGGCAGCATCTGGATCTTGCTCACAAACACGGGGCACAGACAGAGCAGAGCAATTCACCACAACATGAGGCTGCAATTGCCAAAAAGAAAGTTCCTTTTGAAACAAATGTGTTCATATTCGAAGAAGAACTTCAGATCAAAGGCTCAGCCTTTATGCTTGTGTAAAGAACTTTTAATAGATTTAAAAAAATCACGCGAATTGCTTCTCTAAGTTAATCTTCTTAGAAAGGTTCAGGACGAAATGATGAACCCAACAAGCTAGGAGCTCATTCGATGATTGAGTAGAGCTCCCCATCTCAATCAGGACGGAATCGAGAGAATGCGTAACCTGACCGAAGTTGTGGGAAATGGAATCGAGGCCTTGCCCGGACTTCAGATCCACGGGAAACGCGGGAAAGCGAGGGAAGGAGTCGAGCAAGAGGCGGGGAGGCGGAGAAGAATGGTGAGCGAAAGCGACGTCGTATTGGCTCCCGCCATTGGTTACGGCGAAAGCTTGAAGAAGATGCTGACCCAAGTACCCAGTACCTCCCAAAATCAGCACTTTCGTCTTCTCCATCAGTGGATCTCCGGCCGCCTCCGATGATCCTCACGAAGTCAGAAACATTCCAGCATTTTCCCCTTACCAAATAGGATAAAAGTTTAAAACGTACACGTAGATCGGCTTTTATCATCCGACCCATATTTTTATAATTCGTTGGGCCAGGGGCTAGTGTGGGCCAGCCCTTTAACATCTATCATAAGATGTCGTCGTTTTGCGCGTCGAGAGCGAAAGGTACCGGTGTTTTTATGCATGAAAACGGCACGTAGTTGGAGTGCGCAGAAGCGTAAGATTGAATGATTCTTCGTTATTTTCTCGTGTTTGGAAAAGAATGTAAGGTTGGAGGACCCTTGTTCCCATGTTCAACACAGCCTGTAACTTCGTATAAAGAAAGAACTCAAACAAACGAGAAGCCAGGATACATCTGAGAATATTCTCTTCCTTACGCTAAACCCTAAATTCATTTCTTTTTCCTTTGCTTTTGCCCCAATTTGACGTCAATCAGCATCTTTCTGCTTCTGTGAGTTTCATCATTCCATTTCCAGGGGAAGATTGTTTTGTCGTGTCGAAAATCCTCCAGGTATGGTGTTTCTTTGTTTTTGGGATTAGACTGGAGCCCCATGTGATTATTTTCGTTTATCTGATCGTTTGTTTTTGAGATTCTGTCAGTTTCCTTGTTTTCGAGCTTTTTTATTTTGCGACAATTTCTGACAGGGTCTTCTCTTATGGCGTCCGTGAATACTATCGGCTTCAATGGCTTTTTTACACCAGCATGCTATCATCGGTTCTATTAGATGCTGAATTTATGTGCGTTTTCAACTTTGCATCGGGCACGATTACTTCTGTAAAAGTTTTCTTTTTTTGTTCTTTGTGTTTTAAAGGAAACCAAGTTTCGATCTTATTTGAAGCAAGGATGCTATTTTCATGGCTTTGGAATGTCGAGTGTTCTGTGTTTTCGATCTTATCTTTTGAATGATTTCTGTATGGAGCTCCCCGTAATGTAGCCTATGAATGGTTTTTGTATGGAATTTCCACGTTCTATTTACATTGAGACCTACCGCCTTCAGTTTCATAGAGAAGATAGTTTGTCTTATGGTTTTGGAAATGAACATGTCGATTCGTCCTTGTTACAGGAAGGATCAATTACGGGTTAGGTTTTTTGTCTTTTGGAATCTGGAGACCTCAGTTCCTTGAAATATCTCTGGGATTGTTGAACTTGCTTCAAATCAAATCATATGGAGACAGAGTGGAGGCGGCAGCATATTGCAATATTTACCACAGCTAGTCTTCCATGGCTGACGGGAACTGCTGTTAATCCTCTGTTCCGTGCGGCCTACCTCGCAAAAGATGGAAAAAGACATGTCACTTTGGTGATTCCATGGCTGACATTGCAGCACCAAGTTCTTGTTTACCCGAACAACATCACCTTCAATTCACCATCTGAGCACGAAGCTTACCTCCGCCAATGGCTTGAGGAAAGAATTTCATTTCCTGTTGGATTTGAGATTCGTTTTTATCCTGGGAAGGTAACAAGTCAGTTTCTCTTCTGTAAGGAATCTTCTTGAAGGTTATATACCCTTGAGCTTCTCGGCA